AGTCGAGGTATCCATAGCCCTCATCAACGCGACCCTCGCGAACATAACAAAATCCAAACTTGCTCATGCACTGGGAACGAGTGTTGTCCTTCACGTCCGTAAGTGTAGAATGAATGTCATTTGCTTGATTCAAAATTTCTTTGGCCTGATACAAGGCTCTTGGACAAATGTGAGGGGTACATGTGCAGCTTAACACTATCTTCATTCCGATGTTCGTCAAGCAAGCGCTGTAGAGGCGCAAGTGGGAGCGACATCGATACGCAAGCTTGCAAAAGAGCGACTGAAATTCTTGTTGGCGCATCACCTTTGCAAGAAATACAGCTGCCTCGTTGAAGGCTTCAATGCATTGCTCCCTGAAAGTTTGGTCAAGCTCAGGATGATCGTCTCCACACCAAGCCATGGCTTCCCGAATGTTGTCCTTTTCAGATCTGTACTGATCAATTGCCGACTTGCAATCTTTACTCAAGAAGGTTTCGCAAAGTGTAACAGCCAAGTCACTGTAATGACGAATGAAAGTTGATTTGGCGTCTATGTGATCGGACTTCAGTGAGAAGAAATCTCGTATGAAAGGATGGAGGGAATACTGACAACTTTCCCTGTCGAAGCGAGGAGGCTGCTGTGCTCCAAGGAATTCAGGTAAGTTTGCAAATCAGCTGTGACAAACGACCGAAAGACTTCTTGGAATTGCTCTTGCGTGAATCTGTGTGGAAATGTAGAGAACATCACAATAATCTTCTGATTTTCTTGACTTAAGCGATCAAAACATATTTGAAGACACTTGTCGATGCGATCCTCAATCGGTAAATCGTCAGGGTTTAATTCCTTTACAAGAGAACTTGGTGAAGATGTGGAAAGTCTATGTGCCGCCCTCCGTGGATTTTCCCTCTTCAGAATCGAGATCACTGTGCAGATTATTAAGGGAATACCACCACAAACTCTGACAAGCTCCTCAATCAGATGGTCGTCCAGACCATCTTCACACTTTGAGAACAGAGGTTGAATCGTTGTCATTTAGAGGTTCTAGGTTTATCAGTTCGAGAAGAAAAGACACACACAAATCATAAGTTTCTCGAGATGTAAGGACAAGTTGAATGTTTGGACTTTGTCCAAGATCTTTAAGAAATGTCAAAAAGTCGTCTTTTGTGAATTTTCCAAACATTTCAGCACAGCAATTTTTGGATTGTAATTCCTGGTGGCATTTATCCTTGCTAACTTTATCCTCGAGATGCAGCAAGTTGTCAATGTTTTCAATGATTAACACAACACTTTTTTTCTTGAGAGAAGATATGCGACTTAATGCTTCCGTTATTGTATTCTCTCCGGGAACGTACCCTAGAGTCTCGATTATTTTGCTTGCTAAATCTTCTACACAAGTGACACCTCGAGGTTTAACGTACGCGACAAACGTTTTCCTTTCGATCATCCTATGAGCGACCTCTATTACCACCGACGTTTTTCCATATCCAGGCGGTGCTACAATTTCAACAGCCTTGTTTGAAGAAAGGGCAGTTATGATACGTTCGCATGTTTCATTGCGGCCCACCAAATCCGTCCGATCTGGCAAGTTACCATAATGACCAGATTGTTCCTTCACTTCTGCAAGTTAAAAGACAGAAAGACCATTTATCCCTTTCCACTATTAATTGGAATAAAGCACAACAGTCCTGCCAATCAGCCCCTCCCCCTCCCCCACTCCATCCCCAATTCAAAGATTACAAGGACTTATTACAAAAATATCAGGCCCGTACTGAATACCTGGACACATAAGTTATTCATGAACACTGAAGGGGAAGATTTGAATGCGATCCCGCCTTGATAGGCCCAGAACAAGAGAAGAGAGGGCCGAAACTAGCCCAGTAGCGTTTATAAAACTGGCTTGACAGATTTTCAGAAACAACAAGTTAGAAACCCAAGATCGAGTTTTTGAAGAGGTAGGGATTATTGTCAATTTAATTTAAAAAGCAAGAAGGTTGAGAAAGTACAAGGACACTTCTATCATGAAGGCCGATTTCAAAAGCGACTTTTCAAAAGCTCAAACTGGCTTCAAAAGACCCCAGAGCGAGAAATGGAAGGTGGATCTTTCCTGAAGCAGAATCCGTTTTAACTTTGAAAATAATTATTGGTGAACGACAACCACTATTCCTCGCATTTTCAAAATTTCCTTTCGAAAATGGCGCGCTTCGAGTCCGACACCATTGTTTTCTGCCTGCGCTTGAATAAGCATGGATTTTAAACTAAACGATGGCTATTTGATAAAACCACTTATTTGTAAAATACACGATTCACTGATCTTGCTGCATCAGTTGGTTCATGCAACATTTGTCCATGCGAACACCATCCTACCCTAGCTATCTGCATAATTTGTATTCGAGGAATGATTTGCTGTCTAGGAATGAAGGTAGCTAAGAACGACGGCTGGTGAATTTTAAAAAACTCAAGGGAGCGCCATCCAGAGTTCAAAATGGTGTCCTGTTAAGCTAAACTAAGTAGTTGCCATCAACCGAACTTTGTAAACCCGAGGATTTTTCACGCAATGAGAACCCGCACGGGAAATAACGAGCGTACAAACATTTTACTGATATTTCACTCTCGCTAACTTCAATAAAAAGGAAAGCAACTCTAATGACAACAAGAGTGTGAGTTTAATAGTTGCGTGGAAGTTGATAGCAAAAAAAAAAAATTTGGATCTCTCTTTCACTTATATGTTCCAAAACAGAAAATGCCACAGATAAACCTTTTGTAGACGGAAGGTTTAAAGGGGCTAAAAGCTTGAAGCATTCAAAGAAATCGAGCAGCTGAACTCTTTGGATGAGCTGGTAAAGCTGGGAAAAATCATCGATTTTAAACATATTTGTTGATTTTACAATTTTCAACATGATCTTGGCATGCAACTGCCTATGGCTTAAATTAAGGTGCAAACGGCCTTTGACAAGCTTTAGCATTTTGAACAGCCAGCTTTTAAAATTCGTGGAAGACCATGGCGGTATTCTGATCAAGTTTGAAAACACCACTTAAAGTGACGAGAAGGCAAATCGTAACCACTGTTATTAATCTACCATCGTATACAATCTACAGCCAATACGTAAGACTTCACGCCATCAACATATGGTTTTGCGAAGATTACTATTTGATGAGGTTTCTCCCCCACTTAAAAGTACTCTGGACGTTAGCTCCTTGAATGATTAAGCTAAGTAAGGACAAGAAAATAATGAGAAGCCCATTGGAAACGAACGTTCTTAGTTACATAATTATAGCACAATTTCGACCAAGGTTCTATGAACATCAAGTGTGAATTAATGCTTTCCTTCTTACCTTTGTTAGGAAAAGAATCCTGCGCTTCTCTCTCGAAGCTAATTGAAAACATCTGACCAGTCGGATCTGGCATGCTGAAGCTGTCCTGGAATGAACAACCAAGTCCTTGCAAGGCTAAATCTGAAGAAAAAAAAAAGGTACCCAACATTCACACTTTGAGAATCTTAAAAAGGTAACATGTGCCTGTACGCGATCACTTTTCTCCTAGCTATCTCTTGTACAAGGGGTAAGAGGTAATGCACATTAGAGATCATGGCTTGTATAACGAAAAATAGCAGGCTTAAGAATAAGAAACTGAAAGTGCCGCAACGAGGAAATTAAAGGCAAACACTGAAACTGCCAAAGATCCCCAATGTACTTATTTGGGCGAGTACTTACCAACTGTGTTTGGAAAATGCTTAGATATTATCTGTATAGCGTCGTTTCGCTGAATCTCATCTAGTGCTTTTGCAACGTCACTTAATGCTATTTCAAGGAACTGCACGGCCACCCATTCTAGAACCTCTTTTGTAGGACTTTTCCTGATTTGTTTTACATCAGCTAACGCTCGACGCACGTCAGCTGGTACTTCCATTTTCCAGGCCAGATGTGTCCAGTTTTTTAATACAGAATTGTCCTCTCGATTAAGTTCTAGCGCCAACCTTTCTAAGAGTTCCGATCCAGGGGTTATGATATCTTTAAGTAACATGTCGTCTACAGAAAAGTAAAGGTAACCCCAAATCATTATTAGTTAACTTCCTAGGAGCGGGGCCTTAACGCAGAGAGAACTATTGCTCAATCGATTCTTGAAATACTCGTGCAGCCAGTTGCATATTAGGGTCTACATAGGGACTATCTGAAAAGCAGCAGAATCTGACTTTTCTTTTGATAACTGAAAAACAAATTCCTGGCCGCAAAGGTATTAGGCTTAGGTAAACTTTCTTTATTTGTGATGCAGTGCTGACACTCTACCTCTTAGTTTCTCCTCATTAAGATATTTTACTAGATCCCTTCTCTCAATAGATTTCAAAGCTTCCTTGAGACTTAAAAGTGTTTTTTGTGGGCAAGTGGTAGCCAGATACTGGAACAGTCTACCAGTCGGATTTTCTGTCGATCGTCTTTCAAACTTCCAGCAGGTTTTTCTTGGCACACCCAGTTTTAACGCCAAGGTGTACCAGTTGGACAAAGCCAGTGACGTTCCGTCTAAAGCCAACGCAATTTCGTCCAAAAGACCAACTTTGGGTGAAGGAGCTTCATTACTTGGCGAAGTGATCACATCAACAACTTTTTCAGTGTCAGCACAAACAGCTAATTGTCAAGCAAAGTAAGACAAACAAACTCAGCCTAAATTCCTGAGAATCTCGTTGATTAACTGCCTCATACAGTGGAAAAAATTTAATAGAAAACAAATAAAGATATGTTACACTCGTGATGAGCAGAACTTCCAAGTGTTCCAAAAGTGTTTCACAAGAGTCACACTTCTTCCTCTATAAAATTGAACAGCTGTCAGGCTGTGCCATTTAGCAAATTATAGACTTAGTTATTAAGCCAATATACCACTCATTCAATTAGTTTTGAAAGCTCTCTAAAATCTACTTAATTTAGACAGTTGACTAATGGGTCATTTTTCAGTGAGCCAAGACTGTCCCTAACCTCCAAACGTCTCATTTAAAGTCTTCTTAAATGATGGCTGGCTTCTTACCTTAAAGACTCGGCTCGCATTTTTTTTTTCAAACAGTGGCTTGTAAACTGAAAAATCTGTCAGATTTCACGCATGTAAAATAAAGATTTATCCTGTTCCGAGGTAGGACGACGGCGCCTTTGACAAAAATTGTGCGCACTTGTCTCATGGAAACGATCAAATTTCTTTCATAAGGTAAAGAAAAATTTACCCAGTGCGCCTGGGACCTAGATACCCAATGCATCAATGATTTTTTCCTATTGATCAAAATATTAACAGACCGATTCCAAATCATCCGTTGTAGACAAAAAGGGCCCTCTCTAAAGATTGAAAAGATTGGTAAGGCTGACAGAAATTGTGCGCACTTGTCTCATGGAAATGCTTAAGATTCTTTCGTAAAGTAAAGAAAAATTTGCCCAGTGCGCCCGGGACCTGGATACCCGATGCAACAATGATTTTTCCTATTGATCAAAATATTAACAGACCGATTCCCGATCATCCGTTGTAGACAAAAAAGGCTCTCTCTAAATCTAAATTCCATTTTTGGGAGAATGTACACCCATCGCTTCTTTCGGATTTAAACTGATAACCTGATTAAGAGCTCAGTGGGCGCTTTCTTAACCCTTAAACTCCCATGAGTGACCAACACAGAATTTCTCATTACAATATCAATTCGATATCAACCAGATAAGTGATGAGAATAAACAAAAATATCAATTTGGGGATAATTAGTTGATCCAGTACTAAATTCTCTGAACTAAAATTATAAGAATTATATGTTTGACAGTAAGGAGAATTACCAATTTGATCTGGGAATTAAAGGATAAAGTGTGAATTCTCCTTGTGGGTACTGCCGGGACGGGTGTTGTTTCAAAAATGGTCCCAGACAAATTCTAGTTCTTTGGTTCCGAGCATATCTGAAGGAGCCTCCCAAGAATCCAACTTTTTTGCACACTCATTCGAGCGTTTCATTTCTTCTTCTGCTTCTTCGGTTCTTCCAAGACCACGAAGAGCAACTGCCATGGCCTGGTGAGTGAAAATCAGCTCGTCGTACGTGTCCAGTACTTCTTCTTGCAAATCAGCTGCCTCTTCAAGAAGTTTAAGGGCACTGAAATAGATACAGCGGTAAATTATGTACTTCCCACACTCTTTCTCTTAAAGTGTCAGAGACTTTCATCTATCTGATACACTGCTATATGAAATGTTATCTAGAAATCTAAACTGAGGTGTAAGGAGTTGAAACCATTGTTATTAAGGACAGTGTTCCTCGTCTTCCTGTTCAAAAGGTTACCGGTCACCTCGCCACCAAGCAGACTCGCCACCAGCGAACTCGCCACCAAGGAACGATCTCGCCACCAACGTACTCGCCACCAAGCGAAGTCTTCTCGCCACCAACCACCAATAAAGAGATAAACTAGAATAAAGTAGTCGAGGAGAGTAGGATGTTCGAACGAGCACAATTCAAATCGGCCGATACGTTTGTGCGCTTGTCTGTATTTAAATTATGACCTTCAGCGACGTGTTAGATGTGTTCCGTTCCTAACTCATTGACATCGAAACGCATCGTGTTTGTCTTTTGCACGTAAGCGAGGAGAAATTGCAAAACTCGATGCGAGGAATAAAAACTTACTTGAGAGAAAATGAAACTTCATGGGAAGAAATAAGTGATGAAATGAAACTCGATAGCAGTTGTATTAAAACTAAATGCGAACGAACAACATACGTTTATAAAGTTTGAGTACAGACAAGCGAACAAACTTATCGGTTTCGAACGTACTTTCGACAACATACGTTTATAAAGTTTGAGTACAGACTTATCAGCCGAACATCCTACTGTCCTCGACTAATCTCTTTATTGGTGGTTGGTGGCGAGAAGACTTCGCTTGGTGGCGAGTACGTTGGTGGCGAGATCGTTCCTTGGTGGCGAGTTCGCTGGTGGCGAGTCTGCTTGGTGGCGAGGTGACTGGATACCGTTCAAAAAATACTCTTACAATTCAAAAAGGAAAAAAAATAAATTGCCGTGTGATGCGATCTTGTAAATTTTAACCTTAAAATCATTAAATGGAATTTTCAAAATACAAGGAGGTCTAAGAGGCCGCAGCGAGGCGGCAGCAAAACCAGAAGACAAGGAAAGTGAGTCAACAAGTAAAACGGCACCTCGGTACGAGCATCGTTCCTCTAGCTACAAAACATATTAGCCTGTCGTCTTCGCACGACTACGAAATAACCTTTTCCGGACCACAGGGGCAAAAGACTTCCTCCATCAGGACAACTGTAACATCCGCGTGAACTTGACATTTTGACAGACTTGCATTGATTAAGGGGCAAAAATGTTTGTGCGTGCCATCGCGTCGTGGTTCTCCCTTATGTCAAAACTTTTACCAAGGAGTATGGGATCTACAGAATGCTGAATGATAAATTACAAAGCATCTTTACTCACGTTTCATACTCTTGTTTCGCAGTAAAAGCTACTCCCAGATCATAGAGAGACTTAGCCGTTTCTTGATGATTCCCCAACAGTTGCCTTCGTATTTCTACTGATTTACTGATATGTTTAACGGCATTGTCGTAGTCACCCAAAGCATGGTAACTGTTGCCAATCCAGTTGAGAGTGGTTGCCGTGAACGGGTGGTCACCAAGGTTCTCTTCATAGACAGGCAGCACATGAGTCAGCCTTGTTTGGATAGCCAGCATATGTTTTCGCTGCACCATTTGAGAAGCTGCGAGTCAAAATAAATAGAGCGATAAATCAGAAGAATGCAATGTAAGATTGCAGACTGAATTTATATATCTATATATATATATACATAAGTTAAAGCATTACCACAGCATTGAGCACTTTATGCCAAGGTAGACTCTACCCCCACATTTATATTTATATATATATATATATATATATATCCTCAGTCGTTTATCAAGCCACCGTCACACGGAACGACAACAACACCTCTGAAACATACATCGGACTCACAGAAACCGACTTCAAAACAAGACACAGAAATCACACCGCATCATTCCGCCACGCCAAGCACAAAAACTCTACCGAACTTAGCAAACACATCTGGACACTCAAGAACGACAACATTGACTATTCTATCTCATGGCGCGTCTTATCATCTAACTCTCCTTACAACAGCTCCAGTAAAAGGTGCAACCTCTGCCTAAAAGAAAAATTCCTGATAATTTACCGACCCGACCTCTCATCACTAAATAAGCGTAACGAACTCGTATCTTCATGCCGACACAGAAACAAAACGTTGCTACGCAACAGCTGAACTTTAAAGTTTTTAAGTTTACCGCGTATTATGCAAATTTTCCTAGTATATAAACGATAGTCATATGAATATTCTTTCATTAAACCCCTGAAGAGTGAAGCGATTCACGAAACAGGCTTGTCGGGAAATGTAGTTACGTCCTTTTTTCCCTTCGTAATATTTATTCTGCTCTGCTTCAACGTATTGAGCACTGTTCCACGCGAAAATCGACCTGCAGACTTCCTATATATATATATATATATATATCCAACAATATCACTGGCTAATTATTGCATCACTTATGACGCATGATTCGTAAACAATTTTGATTGTGGTATGCTTTGCCAAGCTTACGCAAAAAATCAGAGGATCTCAATAGCAAGACCTACAGGTTTTACAGCAGACATTGAATGGAGTTGATCCGTTTCTGATAATTCCTTCTCAATACTGTCCATTCGTAAATATGATTATGATTGAAGCAATAAGAACTGAAATTGCCACAAACCTGCTAAATCATTCAAGCAAGCAGCCATCATGACTTGGTCTTTGCTCTTTTCGAATTCCGCCTTTGCTCTATCCTTTCGTAATTTCAAAGCGATGTCAATGTATTCAAAACCCTCGCTAACGCGCCCCTCACAAACACGACAAAAACCAAGCTTGCTCAAGCACTGGGCACGAGTTGCGTCGCTGAAGTCTTTAGCTGTTGACTGAATTTGATTTGCCTGAGTCAGAGTTTCCTTTGCTTGATTCAAGGCTCTTTGACAAATATGAGGTGTACATGTGCAGCTTAACACAACTTTCATTCCAATGTTCGTCAAGCAAGCGCTGCGGAGTTGCATGTGACATCGATGGGCAAACTTGTAAAAGAGCGACCGAAACTCTTGTTTGTGCATCACCTTGGCAAGAAATACAGCTGACTTGTTGAAGGCCTGAATGCAATGCTCCCTCAAGGTTTGGTCGAGATCAGGATGATCGTCTCCACACCAAGCCATGGCTTCTCGAATGTTATTCTTTTCTAAAATGTACTGATCAATTGCCGACTTGCAATCTTTACTCAAGAAAGTTTTATAAAGAGTAACGGCCAAGGCACTGTAGTGACGAATAAAAACCGATTTGGCTTCTGTATGACCCGGCTTCAGTGAAAAGAAATCTCTAATGAAAGGATGAAGAGAGAAATAACATTTTCTCCTGTTGAAGCGGAGAAGGCTGCTTTGCTTCAAGCAATTCAGACACGTTTGCAAATCGCCTTCGACCGATGACTCAAAGACTGCCTGGAATTGTTCTCGGGTGAATGTGCACGGAAATGTAGAGAACATTACGAGAATCTTCTGATTTTCTTGACTTAAGCGATCAAAACATATTTGAAGACACTTGTAAATGCGATCCTCGTTGGCTAAAAAAACGGCATCTAGTTCTCTAGCAAGAACTCTTGGTGGAGTTGTGCAAAGTCGACGGGCTGCCTCCTGGGGATTTTCTTTCTTTAGAATTGAGATTACTATGCAGATTACCAGGGGAATACCACCACAAACTCTGACCAGATCTTTGATCAAGTCATCTTCCAGGCCATCGTCACACTTTGCAAACATAGAAGCGGAATCCTTTTCGTTAAGAGGCTCTAGATCAATCAGTTCAATTGGGAAATACACATTAAAATCATAGGTTTCTCTAGATGTCAGCAGAAGTTGAACGTTTGGACTTTGTCCTAAGTCTTTAAAAAACATCAGAAAGTCGTTCTTCATATATTTTCCACACACTTTGGCGCAGTTATTCGTGGCTTCTAATTCTTGGTGGTATTTAGCGTTGCTAACTTGATCCTCAAGGTGCAGCAAGTTGTCAATGTTTTCAATAATCAACAGCACGCTATTTTTCTCTAATGGAAATAAGCAACGAAATATTTTAGTCATTGTGTTCTCACCGGGACCGAACCCTAAAGCTTCGATAATTTTGCTTTCCAAGTCTTCTACACAAGTAACATCTCGTGGATTAACGTAAACAATGGCCTTTTTCACTTCCATCATCTTATGAGCGACTTCTATTACCACCGACGTTTTTCCATATCCAGGCGGTGCGACAATTTCAACAGCCTTGTTTGAAGACAGGGCGCTAATTATGTTTCCACAAATATCACTGCGACCCACTAAATTCGTTCGGTCTGGCAAGCTTCCAAAGTGACCGGATTGTTCCTGCACTTCTGCAACTATAAAATAAATAAAAATGACTTTACTGAAATTACAGGAATACCATTTTAACCATTTATGCTTTGCCAACATTGTCACGAAATGACCCATCTTTGACGGCGAAGAATGTTTGTTCCCCACTTCTCTCTGGGAAGACAGTGGCAGTACAGAGATCGAGATTACCAACACCAGGTTAGGAAGAAGAGTTAGAGCCGGAAGACGTTTTGCGAACCTTCTGAATATTGGCTACCAAACAATAGAGGAAACAAAGGGAAGAATTTCCTGGCAAGCCCAACAAAACTAAATGTGTCTAAACACCTGTGGCAAACACTTGAACAAGACATATAAACGAAAAATTTAGCATCGAATGGGAGAAACGTTTTCCTTCTTACCTTGCTTAGGAGGCGAACCACGCCTTTCTCTCCTGCGGCTGGTTGAAATCATCGCACGTGTTGGATCTGGCACGTTCAAGCTGCCCTGAAATGAACACCCAAGTTCTTTTAAAACTGAGTCTGAAAAAAAGGGCAAATATACACAGTCAGAGAGATTATATTTAATATCAAGATAATTTTCATTGTTTCTTTCGTTTTAACGGCATTTGCACAATGCACATAAGAGATCACAAAGCTGATACTCTATTAACAAGGAGAAAGGGGATTTTGGACAGGTATAACAATAAATACCACATTGTCAAAATCCCAAATTACCTATTAGATAATAACTGGCCTTACTTACCAATTGTGTTCGGAAAATGCCTTGATATTATTTGTATGGCGTCATTTCGCTGGATCTTTTCAAGTGCCTGTGCAATATCACTTAGCGTTGTTTCAGGGAACCGAGCGGCCATCCATTCCAAGACCTCTTTGGTAGGACTTTTTCTGCATTGTTGGACATCAGCAAACTGTCGAAGAATTTCGGCTGGTACTTCCAACTCACAGGCCAGATGTACATAATTTTTGACGCCGATATTGTCATCTCGATTAAGTTCTTGCGATATCTTTTCTAATAGTTCTGATCCAGGGGTAATGACATCCTTAAGTAATACGTCATCTGCAGAGAAATATGCCCATGAATCATTTTCTGTAAACTTTCCGCAAAGGGGCCTAAATAAAGAGATTATATTCGCCTATTTGATTTGTGAACTATTCATGCAGCCAATAGCACATAAGTCTTAGTATAAGAAAAACCTGAATAATAAATGAAATTGAATTTTAACTTAACAATTTAGAGAAAAAAACCTCTAAGGACCGATGGTGTTTAGCTCATTTAAAATCGAGAAGCATACTGAACATTCTTTATCATTTTATGTCACGTTATTTGCAATATGCAATGTTGAGATATTACCTCCTAGGTTCTTATTTTTAAGAATGTTCATCAAATCCCTCCTCTCAATAGAATCCAGAGCTTCCTTGAGACTAGTAAGTGTCAATTGTGGGCAACAAGTAGCCAAATACTGGAACAGTCTGCCGGTTGGATTTTCTGTGGATCGTCTTTCAAACGTCCAACATGTGATTCTTTGCACGCCCAGTTTAATTGCCAAGGTGTACCAGTTTGACAAAACCAGTGACCGCCCATCCAGAGCCAAGGCAAGTTCGTCCAAAATACCAGCTCTGGGTGAAGGGGCTTCACTTGGTTTAGTGATTACATCAACAACTCTCTCAGAGTCAATGCAAACAACTAATAAATATAAAAATTATAAACAGTGGAATTATAAAAACATTAAGGATCATGATACAAGACATGATACAAAACAACAAACAGAACATCTCATAATTCACTTTCATGCAGTGTTTCTCATGACACACGTTTCCTCCTCAAATAAAATACACGAGTTGTGTCATGCAGGTAGTCAAAGACTGCATTCGTCAACCAATAGATTAGTCCTTCAAAACGTAGTTGAAAGCTGTCTACAATCCGTGTACTTTGGACAGTTGACAAATGGGTCATACATGAGACAACGCCGTCTCTAAGAAGCAAACACAACGTTGACAAGCTGTTTCACCAAGCAGTATCAAATTCTGTGTTTATAGAGCTACTTAAGAGGAGCAAAATCTCTCCAAAAGTCCTTCGTCAGTAAGTCCCCTTAAATGATGACACAGACAGTATAGCCTCACATTTGACTATGATTATTTTTTTGTTACCTTCTGTGGTCAGTAAATTGAGTAGGTCGTTTCTCCCGATCTCCAACATGGTCTCCTTTAGTTCTTTAATCGTTAAATCCGGTTTCCAGGACTCAAGAAAATCAAATAATCGGAATGTAGGACTGAAGTCACCGTACTGTTCTAATCGTTTGATGACATCCACCTCAACTTCCAGCGTTGATGCTAAATGTTTCCAATTATGTATCAATCTCATATCCCGGTCCAAGCACAGACTTAACTGTTCTATAAATTCTGGATTACCCCTTAGAATGTGGGATAACTTGGACCCTAAACATCGAATAGAATAAAATATTATTTGCAATCAATTCCCGGAAATTTACTCTGAACCGACTTTCGAAGAAACAAATATGACGAACTTAGTCAAGAATCAACGATGAGTACAGTGTAAAACAGAAGTCCATGATAGCTTAATGTAAACGAGGAACATACCCAATAAAAGAATAAAAATGCACAGGCAAATAAAAAAATGGGGTCGATCTATTGCTCCAACGACGAAGCATTTCTAACCCTCAATGAAGCATGGAGGCGATATTTAAATTGTCACGCCAGTTGATGTCATTGCGCATCTGTGTACCTATATTACTTAGTAAAAGCTTTGAAATTGTTAGCGCATAGGATCGTCCGATGTATGTCTTGTTAGTAACCTAATCGTTAATCAGGTAATTTAGTGTTAACAAATGAGTTGAAAACGTAAATTGGCCACCGCAAAGAGTTAAAAGGCTGACGTTTCGAGCGTTAGCCCTTCGTCAGAGCGATCGTTACTTGTGAAAAATTTTAAAGCAGCTTGTTTAGGTGATTTTTTTATTAAATAATAAAAGAACCTGGAGAGTTTGTGGCATTCTTGAAATTATACTCAACACTAGCGGGGATACCTACCAATGCAAACTATCTATCGAAATTGTAAATATTTTTATGGTAATTTCGAGTAATCGTAAGCTACAGTCTCCTTTGTCGAAAACTTACGAATGCACTCAGCCAGGATTTGTTGCAGAGGAAGATCGAATATCAACGTACTTGCTACATACAGGAGGAAATTACTTACCAGTCAAAGGAACACTTGCATCCAATCGAGCCATTATGAACTTACAACCGCCGATCTCTTCGACTAGCGTCGCTCTTATTTTAGTTGAACATAACGAAATATCACGAAGGTTGTATGTGTTACGCCATACGTCGGTACTATGGAATTCACGCGAACGATACGTCTACTGCTAAGAGCTCGTACAGCTGAACTCAAAAGATGACGGAACGGAAAATGGAGCACTTTCGGGATTGATTCGATGAAAGAAGTCTCAGACAATAACCCGGATATTTCATTTATTGTTTAATTTGCATAATTATATAACAGCCAGACAGGGAATTTTGGGTAGATTTCCTATGAGGTCATGATTGCATGGCAAGGATTTGGAAATTTCTGCCTATTTGCTGATATGAAATTTAAAAAAAGGCAGGGGAGTGGAAGGTTTTTTGTTCTAGGTTACATTCACCATTATCAGGAGCCCATTACTTGGAGCTTTCAACTGCCTTGCATTTTTGTCACGGTGGCACAGGGTTTTTGCGTGACGCGTGATGGTGCAAGATGACGCGTGATTGAACTCAAATTATCCGCGTGACGCGAGACCGGACATCACAACTTGATGCGTGATTTTCTATTTCACAAGTGCGTGACGCGTGATTTACAAGACTTACTAATTAGATTTCCGTGATAGTGAACGCTCTTTGACCAAGAGGAAACCAATCATTAAAAGTAAATAGCGTCTTAACAAAGATCAATAAACCATAACAGCCGGCACACTGTTTTCTGGTCTTTTCCGTCCTTTGCTGACCTTCGCCTGACCTTTGATGTCTTTGATCTTCCTGGTAGGTCCAAACAATCGTAACATAATATTCATAATTTAATATAGTTAATATTTTCACAAGGACTATGATCTTCAGTGTTCTTTTTGTCGACAGCCTGGTTGTCTCGCTTCAACAAGTAAGTCGTCTTTATTTGTCTGACAAAAAGCGATATAGCAGGTGAAACGCAATTCATTCCAGGATAAAATCGTTGGATGCAATATAACTTTCAATAATACATCCGATAGGTTGAAATCTTACAGTGCTAGCTTAGTGTACTTACTCGTTTTACGTGACGCGTGATTGGTTAAAAAACTTACTCGTGATGCGTGATTTGATAGAAAAATTCAGCGTGATGTGTGATTGGAACCTCCCCTTTGCCACCCTCTTTTCACAGACAACTCTATTCTTAGTTTGAATTTACCGCGAATTAGGCCCGCGAGAGCACCTGGACCAATCAAGATTAGCGTCTGGTTAATTTCTAACTTTACTCGTTAATATATCGAGAGAAAAATGGAAGAGAGGTGCAATGATTCTTGCTATAGTTCAAGTGCAGATTCGTGTGAACGAAGGCGTCCCAAGCTCACGTCTCGAGAAAAAGCAAACGACTAATTCATGATAGCATCACGCGTTGTGTGACTCGGTATTAACTTACGAGAGGAACCGTTTTTGTAAGCTGAACCGTTGAGAGAGCAAGCTTTTGTTTTGTTTCCGCGCTCTCCATCATCGCTGGTATGGCGCCTCTTCGTTGTTTTGAATTTGAACTCTTTTCATGAAATTTTCTTTAGAGGGACCAGAATGAATGAATGAATAAATAAACAAAAAAGAATATAAACTACTTGGACTCATTTCCGATTAAAATAATAAATCTTAAAGGTGAAGGATAAGGTAATTTGAATTCTAGTTGATGGAGGTGGTGTTCTGGCCAAACTCACGCGACAGTAATTTATGCGTCAATCAATTCGAAGCTTCAACATCCGCCCTGGGCTTCGCCGGGTATTTGAACTTTTAAAGATTGGTTCATTTACATAATTTTCGCTATATTGGCAGAAAGAAACGTTTTTTTTTTTCGGTTTCTGTGCGATATTTGCTGAAACTATTCTCCCCTCGGTAAAAAGGCTACCACAATTCACCTGCCACTTTGGTGCATTCAGGATAAATTATTACTGACCAACTGAAAAGTTAAATTTTACGTATAAAAATTGATGGACGAAGCAATAAATTGACCGTTTTGTTTAAGAATACAGTGTCGCATCACAAGATGCGTTTATTAAGGAAATCAAGGACAACTGAGGCTGGAGATTCGACATGACATGGACAATTCATTTGAACTTTTCAATACTTAAAGACCTTAAAATCCGTAAGAACTCGTTAACAGTATTACCGTCGGATATTAATTTTAAGAGGTCTATTCATACCATTAACAAGTAAGCTGAACGATTAATGTTCCGTTCTGCCAGTGGTTGGTAATTTTAAATCTTAAGCCATTCTGATACAAGAAACTACCACAATCTTTATTGATGGATCAGTGATCAGTCTGGTCTCAATAACATATTAATCCGATTAATGTGAGTTACGAAATATATTCTTAGGGCCTTCTTTTGAATTATTTATTCAATAATTACAAAAATAATTTAATAAATTATATTTTAAAAAAATTCCTTCAGTATTTATTTCTTACCTACACAGTGTCTATAAAATGGGTGATTGAAAAATTAATCCCTGCGATTCACGTTTCTCTCAAGAGTTCACGCAAGTCAATTTTTTCTCTTTTCTTTTTCTATGGCATTTTGTACAGGAATACTCGTGGGTTTTCCTTTGTGTGGCAAATAGTGACTTCTACGGAGATTGAAGTTTCATTGGAGTGCCCGTCAGACAAAGGGAGAACAAGAAAAACTAACAGACATTTTTAGCTTCACGCTTTACTGACCGTAAGGACTAGCAAACCAGACCACTGAGCGAAAACTGAATAAATATCAAAGCATTGATTGTTTGTGTTCAATTGATTGATCTGTTGTCAGACCTATATTCGATCAACGGTTTGATGCGAAAGGTGTTTTTTACAATGCTGAATTCCGTGGCTTTGCAGGGAGAATATCTATCCATTCGCTCTCTCGTTCTTGGGTCCTCAGTTTATCTAAAGGGGCCTCCCAAGAATCCAGCTTTCTCGTGCATTCCCCCGCGCGATTCATTTCTTCTTCTGCCTCTTCGTCCCTTCCAAGAGCACGAAGAGCTATCGACATGGCTTGGTGGGAGTGAATCAGCTCGTCCTGTGTGTCCAATACTTTTTCTTGGTAATCAACTGCCTCTTTAAGGTATTCGAGGGCTCTAGGAAAGATGCAACGTCAAATAATGATTTTCTTCGACGTCTTCCGCCAAAAGAGGATGTCACATATTTACCGAGCGGTATTCACATCTGTACGATGTAGTCTCTTAGAAAATATTACCTCTAGGTCCAGTTTAAGAAATTAAATCATTCCTCCGTCTTACGATTCAAAAATAATTCTACGATGAAAAATATCTACATTATGATACATTTTGTTAGATATTTCACCTTTGAGTCATTTACTGCAATTTTTCAAACCAAAATACAACGAGTTTGAGGTCGTATAAGAAAATTTGACTTGACAGCAGTAAAATTAGAAGAAAAGGACGTGATCTAACGAGCAAAACAACACACACATCGCAACTGTCGCTTCATTGCCTAGCAACTTGTTGACGCCGCACGAATACAACGTAACATATTTTTGGACCAAACGAGCACTCCTCGAAATTATTTTTTTTCCTCGTTCTGGGCTTCAATGTTTTCCTCTAACCTTTTAACAGCAGGAAATCCATGTAAATTGAAATTTTGACGGAGTTGCATTGATTACGATAAAATATTTAAAAGAACAAATACACGAAGAATTAATGTTTTTGCTAGGGTCAATATTGCTTGCAATCGATTTTGTTGTTTATCTTTGCCAAGAGGGCATCGGATCTACATAATGCTTTCTGATAAATAGCAAAGTATCTTTACTCACGTTTCATAGTCCTGTTTCGCGCTGTAAGCCACACCCACATCATACAGAGACTTTGCAGTCTCCTGATGTTGCCCCAGCAGTTGCCTTCGGATTGAAATTGATCTGCTGCTGTAATTAATGGCGTTTTCGTAGTCACCCAAGGCGTGGTAACTGTTACCAATCCAACTAAGAGTGGTTGCCGTAAAAGGGTGGTCACCGAGTTTCTCTTCATAAACAGGAAGGACATTTAACAGCCATGTTTGTATGGCCATCATGTGATTCCGCTGCACCATTTGAGAAGCTGTTGGTCAAACGAAAAAAAAAAAGAAAGAATGATGCAAGGTCGATAGGTCGACTGTCTATTTTCAAAATTGCGCTTTTTCTTCAACTTACAAGACCCACATTAGTAATACCAATTGAGTACTAGAGTGGTGAAGAGCTTGAGCTCATGCAACCCACCAGCCTATGCCACCAACGTCGCTTCCTAATTGTTGCATCAATTTATCTGCATGGTACTTAAACAATTTCAATCATAATGAAGCTTATGCAAGGTGGATCTAACTGCCTAGCTTTTATGGCAAAGATCAATGAAGATAACTTTCTTAGTTCGTATAGTGTGATCGTCCGGGTGAGTGTAGTTCTGAAAAGAACTGTTGTTGGTGACTGACGTTTCGACAACCTGTGCGGAAGTCATCTTCAGAGTCAAGTAAAGAGTAGTTGGCAGTCGATGCCAAGTTGAGAGGCGTCTGTTCTAAGTTGGTAAACCAGCTTTCCAAAGTCAGTCGTTGAAAATAGTTTGTTTAGCAGAGTCCCAGTCGATTCTGTGACTTTATAACATCATCGACTGCCAACTACTCTTCACTTGACTCTGAAGATGACTTCCGCACAGGTTGTCGAAACGTCAGTCACCAACAACAGTTCTTTTCAGAACTACACTCACCCGGACGATCACACTATACGAACTACTGATACTCCTGGGTTCAAACCATTTACATAACTTTCTTAAGATAATTCCCTATATTAATATATGTTACCATGAATGCATTAAGAAATTAAATTACCACCAACCTGCTATATCGTTGAAACAGGCAGCTAACATGACATGGTCTTTGTTCCTCTTTAGTTTCTCTACTCTGTCCCATCGCAATTTCAAGGCGATGTCGAGGTATCCATAGCCCTCATCAACGCGACCCTCGCGAACATAACAAAATCCAAACTTGCTCATGCACTGAGCACGAGTGGTTTCCTTCACGTTCGTAAGTGTGGAATGAATGTCATTTGCTTGAGTCAAAATTTCTCTGGCCTGACACAAGGCTCTTGGACAAATGTGAGGGGTACATGTGCAGCTTAATACTATCTTCATTCCGATGTTCGTCAAGCAAGCGCTGTAGAGGTGCAAGTGGGAGCGACATCGATACGCAAGCTTGCAAAAGAGCGACTGAAATTCTTGTTTGCGCATCACCTTTGAAAGAAATACAGCTGCCTTGTTGAAGGCTTCAATGCATTGCTCCCTGAAAGTTTGGTCAAGCTCAGGATGATCGTCTCCACACCAAGCCATGGCTTCCCGAATGTTGTCCTTTTCAGATCTGTACTGATCAATTGCCGACTTGCAATCTTTACTCAAGAAGGTTTCGCAAAGTGTAACAGCCAAGTCACTGTAATGACGAATGAAAGTTGATTTGGCGTCTATGTGATCAGACTTCAGTGAAAAGAAATCTCGTATGAAAGGATGGAGGGAATACTGACAACTTTCCCTGTCGAAGCGAAGGAGGCTGCTGTGCCTCAAGGAATTCAGGCAAGTTTGCAAATCTGCTGTGACAAATGACCGAAAGACTGTTTGGAATTGCTTTTGCGTGAATCTGTGGGGAAATGTAGAGAACATCACAAAAATCTTTTGATTTTCTTCACTTAAACGATCGAAACAGATTTCAAGACACTTGTCGATACGATCCTCATTCGGTAAAAAGTCAAGGTTTAATTCCCTTACAAGAGAACTTGGTGAAGATGTGGCAAGTCTACGCGCCACCCTCTGTGGATTTTCTCTCTTCAGACTCGAGATCACTGTGCATATTATCAAGGGAATACCACCACAAACTCTGACCAGCTCCTTAATCAGATCGTTGTTCAGACCATCCTCACACCTTGAGAACATAGAAGCTGAATCGTTGTCATTCAGAGATTCTAGGTCAATCAGTTCAAGAGGAAAAGACACATTTAAATCATAGGTTTCTCGAGATGTGAGGACAAGTTGAATATTTGGGCTTTGTCCAAGGTCTTTAAGAAATGTCAAAAAGTTGTCCTTTGTGAATTTTCCCAACATTTCAGTACAGCAACTTTCGGATTTTAATTCCTGATGGTATTTATCCTTGCTAACTTTATCCTCAAGATGCAGCAAGTTGTCAATGTTTTCAATGATCAACACAACACTTTTTCTCCTTAAAGAAGATATGCAACTCAGTACTTCAGTTATTGTGTTCTCACCGGGAACGTACCCAAGAGTCTCGATTATTGTGCTTGCTAAATCTTCTACACAAGTGACACCTCGACCTTTAACATACGCGACAAACGTTTTCCTTTCGATCATCCTATGAGCGACCTCTATTACCACCGACGTTTTTCCATATCCAGGCGGTGCTACAATTTCAACAGCCTTGTTTGAAGACAGGGCAGTTATGATACGTTCGCATGTTTCATTGCGGCCCACCAAATCAATCCGATCTGGCAAGTTACCATAATGACCAGATTGTTCCTTCACTTCTGCAAGTTAAAAGACAGAAAGACCATCTACCCCTTTCCACTATTAATCGGAATAAAGCACAGCAGTCGTGCCTATCCCCCCCTCCCCCTCTCCCCCATTCACAGATTACAATAACTCATTACAAAAATATCAGGCCCGCGCAGAATACCTGGACAAATTAGCTATTCATGAGCACTGAAGGGGGAAGATTTGAATGCGGTCGCGCCTTGATAGGTCCAGAACAAGAGAAGAAAGGGCCGAAAATAGCCCAGCAGCGTCGATAAAACTAACTTGATAGATTTCAGAAGCAACAAGTTAGAAAACCAAGATCGAGCTTTTGGAGAGGAAGAAAGAAAAACTAAAGGATGGCCTATTTGATAAAACCACTTATTTGCAAAATATAGGATTCTCTGATCTCGGTGTATCAGCTGGTTCATGCAACATTAGTCCGCGCGAACACCATCCTATCTTAGCCGTCTGTATTCCAGGAATGATTTGTATTCTAGGAATGTAGTTAACTGAGAACGACGGCTGGTGATTTTCAAAAAATCTCAAGGGAGCGCCATCCAGAATTCGAAAGTGTGTTCTGTTAAGCTAAACTAAGTAATTTCCATCAACCGAACTTTGTAAACTCGAGGATTTTTCACGCAAACAATGAGAACCCCCCACGGGAGCTAATGAGCATACAATCATTTTACCGACATTTCACTCGCCCTCACTTCAATAAAAAAGGAAAGCAACTCTGGTGACAATTTAGAGTGTGAGTTAAATAGTTGCGTAGAAGTTGATAGCAACAACGAAAAAATTTGGATCTCGCTTTCACGTATATGCTCCAACAACAGAAAATGCCACAGATGAATCTATTGTAGACGGAAGGTTTAGAGTGGCTAAACGCTCGAAGCATTTCTGAGAAATCGAGGTGCTAAACTCTTTGGATAATCAGATCCTGAGCTGTGAAAAATCCCCGTTTGTAACCATGTTTGTTGATTTTACAATTTTCAACATAATTTTGGCATGCAATTGCCTTTGGTTAAATTAAGGCGCAAACGGCCAATGATAAACTTTAGCATTTTGAATAGCCAGCTTTTAAAATTCGCTGAAGATCATGGTGGTATACTGATCAAGTTTGAAAACACCCCTTGAGGTGGCGAGAAGGCAAATCGTAGCCACTGTTATTAATCTACCATCGCGTACAAGCTACAGCCAATACGTAAGACTTCACGCCATTAACATATAGTTTTGCGAAGATTACTATTTGATGAGGTTTCTTCCCCACTTTAAAGCATTCTGAGCGTTAGCTCCTTGAATAATTAAGCTAAGTAAGGACAAGAAAATATTGACAAGCCCATTGGAAACGAACGTTCTTAGTTACATAATTATAGCACAATTTCGACCAAGGCTAATGCTATGAACATCAAGGGTGAATTAATGCTTTCCTACTTACCTATGTTAGGAAAAGAATCCTGTGCTTCTCTCTCAAAGCTAATTGAAAACATCTGATTTGGATCTGGCATGCTTGAGCTGTCCTTGAATGAACAACCAAGTCCTTGCAAGGCTAAATCTGAAGAAAGAGAAATGGTATCCAACATTCACACTTTGAGAATCTTTAAAACGTAACATGTGCCTGTACTCGATCACTTTTCTTCTAGCCATCTCTTGTACAAGGGGAACGAGGTAATGCACATCAGAGATCATTGCTCGTTGCATAACGAAAAATAGCAGGCTTGGAGCAAGAAACTGAAAGTACCGTAGCGACAGAAATTATTTCAGGAAAGGTAAACAATGAAGCTGTCAAGAAGCCCAATGTACTTACATCCGCGAATACTTACCAACTGTGTCTGGAAAATGCTCAGATATTATCTGTATAGCGTCGTTTCGCTGAATCCCGTCTAGTGCCTTTGCAATGTCACTTAATGCTGTTTCAGGGAACTTCGCGGCCACCCATTCTAGGACCTCTTTTGTAGGACTATTCCTGATTTGTTTGACATCAGCAAGCGCTCGACACACGTCAGCTGGTAAGTCCATTTTCCAGGCCAGATGTGTCCAGTTTTTTACTACAGGATTATCCTCTCGATTAAGTTCTAACGCCAACCTTTCTAAGAGTTCCGATCCAGGGGTTATGATATCTTTAAGAAACATGTCGTCTACAGAAAAGTAAAGGCAGCTACAGATCATTATTAGTTTACTTCCCAGGAATGGGGCCTTCACGCAGAGAGAGAACTTTTGCCCAATCGAGTCTTGAAATACTCATGCAGCCAATTGCATATTAGGTTCTACATAGGGAATGCCTTAAAAATAGCAGAATCTAGCTTTTTTATTGACAATTTAAAAACAAGTCGCAGGCTGCAAAGGTACTAGGCTTGGTTACACTTTAGTTATTTGTGATGCAGTACTGGCACTTTACCTCTTAGTTTCTCCTCATGAATAAATTTTATCAGATCCTTTCTGTTAATAGAATCCAGAGCTTCCCTTAGACTTAAAAGTGTCTTTTTTGGGCAATTGGTAACCAAATACTGGAACATTCTGGCGGTCGGATTTTCTGTCGATCGTCTCTCAAAATTCCAGCAGGTTTTTCTTGGCACACCTAGATTTAACGCCAAGGTATACCAGTTTGACACAACCAGTGACGTCCCGTCTAAGTCCAACGCAATTTTGTCCAATAGACCAACTTTGGGTGAAGGAACTTCGTTACTTGGCGAAGTGATCACATCAATAACTTTTTCATTGTCAGCGCAACCAGCTGATAGTCAAGCAAATTGAGAGAAACAAACTAAGTCTGAATTCCTGAGAACTTTGTCGATTAACTGTCACATACAGTGGAAAAATTTAAATTAAAAAAAAAAGATATGTTGCGATCATGATGAGCAGAACCTCCATGCAGCGTTTCACGAGACTCGCAATTCTCCCTCATACAAATTTGAACAGTTAAAAGCTAACATAAAAATCCTTCAAATAGTTTTTAAAAGCTCTCTGAAATCTATTTTTATTCAGACAGTTGACCAATGGTCATTTTTCAGTGAGCCAAGACCGTCCCTAAGAAGCAAAAACAACACCAACAAGGTCTACTAACTAACAGCATCAAAATCTGTGTCTCAGGAAAAACGGCAACCTCCAAACGTCCCTTAAATAATGACACAAACATAGCAATTGATTAGTTATTTTGTGATATACCTTTTGTGACCAGTAAACTGATTAGGTCGTTTCTTCCGATCTTTAGTAGGATGTCCTTTAGATCTTTAATCGTCAAATCTGGTTTCGAGGTCGCAAGATAATCAAATAATCGGATGGTAGGACTGATGTCACCGTACTGTCCAAGTCGTCTAATGACATCCAAGTCGACGTGCAGTATCGATGCCAAATGTCTCCAATTGCGTATAAATTTCATATCACTGTCCAAGCACAAACACAGCTTTCTTATGAACTCTGGATTACGTCGTAGAATGGCAGATAATTCAGACCCTAAACATGACAGAAAAGTCGGACAAAATGAGGGACTCTTTAAAGGCTTGAATTCCAGGAAAATTAGACTGACTACTTTCTCGGAAACAGTTCTGGGAAATCAATAATCATTAATGGTTTTTCTGTGTTTTGAATTTGATATACACGATAGCAAAACGTAAACAGGAAATACGGTAGCTTGTGTATCAAAATTATCCACAAGGCAAACAATTTCGATTAGCATCTATTCAGCCATGACCATGCAAAATGTTCAAAGCTCAATGAGGCATGGACGCGATGTTTTATTTTTAATGCAACAGTTTGATGATAACACCATTAACATATTCACCTAAACATACATTGCTTAGAAACAACTCAGTCTTAATCTTTTACATTATTAGTAACCCAGGCGTTTATCTAGCGGCCAGAGTTTGTCATAACTTACATGACCCGGCGTTTCAAATGTCACAATAGCTAATGTAAACCGTCACACAAATCGAAAGCACTTCGATTGGAAAGATTCTTGTCTGTGTTAGCTCATACATCCCTTAAACTATTAAACGCAAACAATATCCTTCTGATCGCGAGCTCAACTAATTTGTAGAAAGCCGTTTGCGATATTGTGTAGTCAGTTCTTTTAAAAAGACTTCCGCCATAGTTCCGCAATTACACAAATTCTAAACTTTTAAAAGTCGGAAAGTTGGTGGCCCTTTCGCAATCATTACTAACGGTGGCGGTCTTACCTGCTTTCAGTGAAAGCAGTGATTCCGAACTTATTTCGAAATTGCAAATATTTTCTTCGTAACTTTGAATAATCGTGACTACGACCTCGGTGTCGAAGACTTACTAATGCATTCAGCCATGATTTGGAGCGAAAGAAGTGAGAATTACTTACCAGTCGATGGAACTCTTTTCCGCAAATGAGCCATTGTAAACTATAACCGCCGATTTTTTTCGGGTAACGTCGTTCTTTTGTCAGTTCAACATCACGAACATAACTTTGAAGATTGCATGTAGTTGATCAATGTCGGACCAGTAGTGCGTTTACATAAATCTCTCTTTGGCGAAAGGACTACGGCTAAGAACTGGTAATTGAAATGCACTTCAGATGTATGCTGTGCAGCTGGAAACCAGTCAACCGGCTGAGCGGAGGAAAGTGTACTTCTCAGCGGATCAATGCGATGAAGATAAATCGAACGCTGAACCGGACTGTAAAAATTGCATGGCTAATGATGCATAATTGTGTCGCTGTTTTGCAACGAATTATCCCGTGGGGTAGATCCTTCGCTCGTCGTTACATAGGTACGATTTGGACGGTTCTGCATTCTGCATGACTTGAAATTCCAGAACGAAGCTTGCACCAATTCCATCTTAATTTAACTCACTATACTCTGAGACACAAATAGCGCAATCAAAACTGAATAAGGAGGAACAAATCAGCTCTTCCCCTCCCCCGGGAGTCTCAACCCAGGCCCTTATTGTGATTATAGCCTGTCGCCATGGTTTTGAATGTTTAGAAACCACGCACTGACTCGTGCTTAGTGCGGCTCGTGTGTCACTTAAAAAAAGGCGGTTTAAGACTGCTTGTGGCTACTAGCACAACGCAATTTTTTATAGCATTGAAAATAACAAGAGTTTAAAGAATAATGTTAAAAAATACTGGCGTTGCAAATAAAACATTTGTATCAAAACAGAATTGAAAACCTACCGCATCCCACATACTTATGAGAACCCTGTTCTATAATAGTGGAGGCGCGGTGGCTTCATGATTAGTGCGCTCGACTCCGGATCGAGTGGTCCGGGTTCGAGTCCTGGCCGTGATCTTAGATCTCAAGTGATGTTCTTAGGCAAGACACTTAACTCTCACAGTGCTTCTCCTCATCCAGGTGTACAAATGGGTACCAGGAAATAAGCTGGGGGTAATCCTGCGATGGACTAGCATCCCATCCAGGGGGGAGTAGCAATACTCCCAGCCACTTCATGGCAAGGAAACCGGAGTAAAGTGCCGGCCCCATAGGCCCCTTGGGCCTGTATAAAGGCTTTACTTTTTTATTGTTCCACAAGAGAAAGATGATTCGAGAATATAGTGACTATTTGACCTTAAACTTATAAATAAAATGGTAACAACTAATCATATTAACAATAGTAATAATAATGGTGATAAACATGGAAAGAGTAATGATTATTTATAGGGGCTGGCTCAAGAACCTCAAGGTTCCTCTATAGGCTTCTACTTTCGGTCTACAGTGATTAAACTATGTCTCTTCTAATTTTTCCTGTTAATAAAAATAGTCTTCTTATTTCATTGCAATTCTATTTTTGTGAGACTTTTGTTTCACACAACAAGGCATTTCGTGTTGTAGGATATGCCACCATTTCATCATTCCGTCGAATGGGGTCAAGGTGTCGTATTTCGGACCTTGCTTTCTTCGCAAGTCGCTGATTAAAATGGTAAAATGCTCTCTTCGAATAAATAAAAATTTTCCAGAATGCGCAGATCAAACCTGTTTGGGTATTTCTTCAAGGTGGCATGTCTTAAGATTTGATGGAGTCACGGACACAGACAGGTTCAGGGAAGGAGATCCGAGACAAGACGGAGGAATGCAAAAAAAGTGGTATCGAAAAAAAAGGGGAAAGGGGGGAACATACAGTGGAATGAGCCTGGTTGGAAGATGAATTGCTAGAGGAAAGAAAAAAACGACTGACTCCTCTTGATTACCCATTCACTATCCATTCTTTTCACAAGGCTTCTAAAGAGGTTACTTGTTAGTCTTTTCATAGCTATCGTACCTCAGCAAGAGAATAATATATTGACCTCAGATATTTTCAAATCAGAGATACCTTATAATAAGTCGCTTAAGCTTGGGTAGTTGCATTTCTCGTTGAGTGAAAGTAAAAAAAACCTCATTTTTTAATTATACTTCCTCGTTATATCAATCAGAAAAAAATACTACAAGAAAAATCCACTTCATGAGTGTAATATTAAGTTTCAAATGTAGAGCTAGTTTTTCTTGAGCACACTGTGCATGGTTGCGTGACACATGATTAATTCGTAAAAACCTTTCTCTGTGACCTCCTGGTTGTAGACGAGAGGAAACAACTAAGTTCTGTAGAGTCTTTTCGTCTTAAACGAAAAAAATTCCACCTTTTTTCCGTCAAATATTTTATTTCTGGTGATCATAACGACTTGAGGTTTGTACCGTAATTAAGTTGTAGTTTGTCATCCTGGTAAACAGGACTGCGTAGTCTACAGGATTCCCTTTGAGTGGCGGAAGGGCTAAATCGGCGAAGCTGGTAATAGTTGCATATTTACGGTCATGGGAGCAAAGGCAAGGTAGGTACATCTGACAGAGTATACATGCTGTTACATCGATTTCCATCAAGCTCTTTTTGAAAACCCAGACTGGCTCGATTTGCGTCAACAATATCCACAATTGTCATTTTCCCTTTACACTCGGTAACGACGTGAAACAATGCCAAAACGTCAACAAAAGTTAACGAACATATTTTCAGTTTCGAGTTTTGTATATTTCTATAATGTTCTAGCTTTGAACTTTGCCATCAACTTAAAATGATGATGATGTTAATATTGATAACGGCTACTTGAGGCAAGGGATCCTTTATTTATGTGTAAACTTTTAATGCAAAAAACAACTTGTTGGACAATTTACCTGTACCTTTAATTCAAACTTAGCCTCTGCCGAGCGCTTCTTTGTCGCCACATTTTTATCATTTATTTGACAATTTCCTCAGGCAAAATACGATAAAAATGTTTCTTCAACACTTTTTACTATTTCTACCTGATCGCTCAATTTAACTAACGAAGGTTTTCTTGTTAAGAGTTATCAACAATGTGGGTTTTTGGTTTGTCATGTTGAGAACTTGGGAAATGTCAACTTGCCAACACAATTGAAGGTTAACCTCCGCTCGATAACAGGATGTAGAATAGGATGTAACATTAAATATCTTCCTTTTTCGAAAAAAACTTAAAAGTCGGCTGTGGGATCAGGCATTCTGAAACTGTCCTGTGGTGAAATACCAGGTCGCTCCAAAGTTGATTCTGGAAAAAACGATAAACATAAACTGCGATTAGGGTGCACAATAATGGTGAGTACGATTAAATGGATACTTATCACACTCGGAAGCTCTTCACGAAGATAACAGGATGTAGAATAAGATGTAAAATTAAATATCTTCCTTTTTCGAAAAAAAAACCCATAAAAATTGGCTGATTACAGCCACTCACCGACAAGAATCTAACAGGGGTTCTTCCAAAGTTTCGACTGACTGATACACAAGTATGGAGGTCTAAGAAAGGACGGACTTAGCGAGTCACTGCGCTGATTAAGTGTTCACGAGAGCCCATCGATCAATCAATAGATTGTTTTGCTTCCTTACAGTGTGAAAGATCCCTTTTTCAAAATCTTAGTTCTGTGCATGAGAAATCCATCCAATCTTTTTCTTCTTCTTTTTCTTCCTTTTCCAATTTTTTTGCGCACTCCACAGCACGTGTCATTTCTTCCTCTGCCTCGCTGTTTCTTCCGAGACCACGCAGAGCAATTGACATGTCTTGGTGAGTGTGAATCAGTTGATGATGTGTGTCTGATACTTCTTCTTGTAAATCAATTGCCTCTTTCAGATATCTAAGGGCGCTATAAGATTGAGAAGCATCAAATGTTTATCTGCTTTACTTTTATTTCTCATGGAAGAATCATTGATAAAGACTATGAGAACAGTTTGTTAAGCATTCCGCATGGCTGTAATCCACCTAAAACGCAAATCCCAATAAAGGAGAATGACATCTTTCGTCTGAAAAATGGATATTTAAGATAACGATATGCTTTAGTTGGCATCTCAGTCATTCAACTGAACACATTGTACTAAGCCACTTTCCTAAGATGACATCAGGCCTGAGAATAATTAATATAGGAATGACTAATGGGATATTTGGGCATAAGTAGCAATGCTTCTACTCATATTACCTTAGGTAATCTTCTTTCTCGCTGAAAGCCACTCCCAAACCATGAAGAGACCTCGCAGTTTCCTGATGGTGCCCCAGCAGTTGCTTTCTCATTTCAACTGATTTACCGATATATTTAACAGCATTTTCGTAGTCACCCAAGGCGTGGTAACTGTTGCCAATCCAGTCGAGTGTTGTTGCCGTGAAAGGATGCTCCCCGAGGTTCTGTTCATAGAGAGGAAGCACATAGCAGAGTCTTGTTTGGATAGCACACATGTGTTTCCTTTGCACCATCAGAGAAGCTGAAACGAAACACACGTAAATGAGAAGAAAAATTCAACAAGGGCTCAACCTTGTCGGATTGACCTCGTTTTTAATGAATATATGTGTGGTTTTTTTTTTACCAAGATCTCTGAGATCGACCTACTCGTAAATTTCCTTTATGAAGCACCGTAAAGCTCATGCAAGGTCCTTTTTGAGATCCTAACTAAACTAGCTTATAATAAATAGGTGAGAAAGCCAACATAACTGATTGTAGTGCATCCTCACTGGAGAGTGTCCTTCCATGAAAATAAAATATAGGAGAGTAAGAAATGTACCATTTTTTCCCAACCTGCTATATCATTATAACACGCTCCTAACATGACTTTGTCCTGGGTCTCATCTGATTTTTTTTCTCTCTTTGTTCTTAATTCTATGGCCTCGTTAAGATAGTCATATCCTTCGTCAATGCGTCCCTCTCGAACACAACAGAATCCAAGCTTACTCAAGCAGTGGGCACGCGTAGCTTCATTCACGTCAGTAAGCTCTGAGTGGATTTGCTTAGCACGTGCCAAAAATCTCTTCGCTTGATATAACGCTCTAGGGCAAATGTACGGTTTGCATGTGCAGCTTAAAACTATCTTAACTCCAATGTTTGTCAAGCAGGCACTCAATAGATGCCTGTCATGTTGACATCGATACGCAAACTTGCAAAAGAGGGAAACAAACTCTTGTTTTCGCATCATCTTTGCGAGAAATACGGCGGCTTCGTTGAAAGCAGTAACGCAGTGCTCCCTCACGGTTTGTTCAAGCTCAGGATGATCATTTCCACACCAAGCCATAGCCTCTCGAACGTTGTCCTTTTCACATCTGTAGCGATTAATTGCAGACTTCGTATCCGCACTCAAAAATCTTTTGCAAAGAGAAACAATCAAATCACTGTAGTGACGTAAGAAGACTGATTTGGCATCTTTGTGTTCAGGCATTGATGAAAAAAATTTTCTTATAAAAGGATGTAGAGAGTAAAGACAGTTATTTCTGTCAAAGTTTAGGAGGCTGCTTTGTTTCAAGCAACTAAGAGACATCTGCAGATCACCTTCAAC